TGAGAGTTTTAGTAATGGCTGGCTGCTAAGGCTCTTCCTGGGAGTTTAATGTAAAACAAACAGGACCATGCTGACAGCCTGGGAACACCAGATACTGCACTTTTCCTGCTTCCACTTCAGGGTTCTTGCTGTCCCTCATTGAACAAAAGGGGAAATTTAGGAATAATTATATTTGAGAAATGGCTTCTGTGAATCCTAATTTAGGGCATTTATTTGACTCGAACATTATTCACTGTCTTCAGCTTTTATTTTGCAACAATTATTTACTTTACTTTGACAATTATTTGCAACAACGATAGCCCTGTGAAAACAGAACGCACAACTTGTAGACAATAAAACTGACTGAATCTCCAAAGAAGACCCTCCAGATAAATAATTAGGTTATTATTTTTAGAGCTGAAGACCACAAGCACAGTTGCTGCTTGTTAGACACAAATGCATGTATTTCACAAAACACACTGCAACTCTCAGATGAACCATCCTGCTGAATCCGGTCCTTCCTGCACATACTGTAGTTTTTCTTCCTTCCTGACAAGTTCTGGGGGATGGAGGACGAGCAGGAATGTAATGCAGAAATCAGGACAGAATGCCCATCACAAAGCTACAGCCACTCAAACCAATCATCTCTCTTTACTTAGAGATACTCCCCCCATAGATGCACACTGGCAAACATCCAAAGTCAACTGCTACTATCTTTGCAGGCAGCCTTAAAGGAAGCCGAGACCACTGAAACGAAAGACAGAATATATTCTGCAGCCATATTGTGCATTGAGATATTAACGTCTTTTGCAAATAACTTGGAGAAATGAAGCAGCCTACTAAAGTAGAAAACAGCAATGGGTTGAAAATATAAACAAACTGAGGTAAAAAGTAAGTTCTTGTTAAACTCCAAGAAGGTTTTTTTTCCCTTGAGTTGATCCACTCTCGATGTGATAAGCACAGTTCCAGTACAACCTAATAACTAAAGCAAGAAGACCAAATTCAATATTGAGTTTGACAAAAATTGGACAGTTTGGGCACTCAACTCCGGAGGGTGCATGGACGTAGAGATTGGAATATTTAAAAAGAAGGCGACAGAGAAGAATGAATGCCAGAAATCAAGTCACGGCCCGGATGCAAAAGTCGAATGGCAGGACGGCATCAAACACGACCACATTCTGAGCTCACTTCAAGTTCTTGGGAGAAAAAAGTAGCCAAGAGCAAATGGTGGAATAATTTTTGCTGAAGAAAAGCAGAGAAAAACGCACACCCAACCAATTTATCCAGTGCTCTTTGGCAAAGTTGCTACAATCAGTTTGAGTCATGTATGGAATTACACCTCCGTAATGTTTGAGACATTTTACATCCATTATGACAACTACTTCAACTTAAATTTAAGAACTTCTCACACACTATTCTCAAGCCTGTCATGGTGGCCGTCCGTCTCCATGATCCTACATCTGCCTGCACGGACCAAACTCTACGAACAGTTCAGTTCCATGGAGAAACTTTAGATGTTCTGTGTCTGCCGGGCCCGATCCTGGAATGCAGGCATCATCCGTTGCCATAGTCATTAATATCATCATGTTGCTAATGGGACCATGCTGCTAATGAGACCATATTGCTAAGAGAACCATGTTGCTAAAACAACCTCTCTCACTGCCAACAGAAACACTCTGCTAATAGGACTATGCTGCTAACAGAACCACTCTGCTAACAGGATTATGTTGCCAACAAAACCACTCTGTTAACAGTACCGTGTTGCTAACAGAACCATGTTGCTAAATCTGCTCTGCTAATAGGACTATGTTGACAACAAAACCACTTTGCTAACAGGACTATGCTGCTAAAAGAACCACTCTGCTAATAGGACTATGTTGCCAACAGAACCACTCTGCTAACAGGACCATGCTGCTAACAGGACCATGTTGATAACAGGACCATGTTGATAACAGGACCATGTTGATAACAGGACCATGTTGCTAAATCTGCCAAAAGAACCACTCTGCTAAAATAACCACTCTGCTAAAAGAACCACTCTGCTAAAAGGCCCATGCTGCTAAAAGGACCGTGCTGCTAATAGGACCATGTTGATAACAGGACCATGTTGATAACAGGACCATGTTGATAACAGGACGATGTTGCTAAATCTGCTAAAAGAACCAATCTGCTAAAAGAACCACTCTGCTAAAAGAACCACTCTGCTAAAAGGCCCATGCTGCTAACAGTGTTTTTATGACACTATTAAATCAAAATCTAAATCAGAGTCAGAGTCAGAGTCAGTCAGAGTCAGAGTCAGAGTCAGAGTCAGAGTCAGAGTTTCTTTATTGTCATTCGCACCTCATGTGGTACATGTGGTGGAGCGAAATTATGTACACAGGGTCCCAGTTACATCCAACAATAAAATGTATAAGAAAAACAGTAATAACATCTAAGATATGAACTAAGAAAAACATCAACTAAATATACACTAAGCACTCATAACATAAAACATTGAACATCACCACAAACATGAACATGAGTCTGTGAGCAGATGTGCACGCATGAACACATCAACATTGAAACAGATCAGCAGCAACATGAAACAGATCAGCAGCAACATGATATGGTTTTTCACAGTGATTATTCTAGTTAGAGATTCATGAGTCTAACAGCCTCAGGGTAGAAGCTGTTCCTCAGTCTAGTGGTTCTACACTTAATGCTCCTTAACCTCCTTCCTGAGGGGAGTGGGGCAAAAAGTGTGTGTGCTGGGTGGGTGGGGTCCTTCATGATGCAGGTGGCCCTCTTCCTGCATCTGGAGGTGTAGATGTCTGTGATGGTGGGGAGACTGACTCCAACAGATTTCAGGTCTTCTGTGAGGTACTTTACTGATTCATCCTACGTGCACTGTTGTATTCTACCATGTTGTTTACTATATTTATTTTGGATCTTGTAGATGTTGTATTTCTTTTTCACTTTTGGTACTTTGTTTTATACTTTGATGCATGCTTTGGTATTTCTTCTTTGTTTTTTGTTTTTTTGTTTGTTTGTTTTTGTTTTCTGAAGAGTTGAGACGGTTCTTCTCGTCCTGAGCATTTCATTGCATGGTTGACCTTGTGTTGACCTGCACATGACAAATAAACAACCTAAACTAAACTATAAACTAACTAAACACTGAGTCATCTGGATATATTATTGTGTTTAACTTAATAAGGTCAAGTTAGAGGTGACAAACAAAAGAACAGTCAGGAATACACAGCTGAGGTGATGATGCATTATGGGAGATCTTATCTCCAGGATACATGCATGTATGAACGAGTGGCACTGAAAATGTGCTAGAGTTAAAAAAAAATAAAGAAGAAACTGTAAAATCCTGTTATTGGTCTTTTTTGTTTCATACAGTCAGCCTCTGTGCAAAAAGATTAGAAGATTTTAAAGAAGTGCATAATCTTCTTTAACAGCTTATCAAAACTTTAATGATTTGGTGATAAAGAGCACAAAGTTAAGTAGCCGGTTAAGAGGATAACTCCCCAGTGCAGTCTAGTGATTAGTAGATGAGAATTGGGAGACCGAAAATCCGGGTTGCAAATCCCACTCCTGCCACTTATTCACTTTGAGGGAGAAGAAGCTCCATTTCAGCTTTGGGGGTATTGTCACGGGGTAATCATTTCTGAAAAGTGATAAATGGAGCCCTTTTCTTCCCCCCTTTAGAATCTGGCACTCAACTTTATTTACGTATTTATTTTGTTGTGTGTTTCTACTTAGCGCCCGCTACGACCCAGTTACATTGATGGGAGCCTTCTGCTTTCATGAGACGTGACGTTTTAGACGCTTTTGTTGGTGCTTTGAAAGCTTCTTTCGATACCATCTGAGCTCTGCTCAACTGTGCTGGACATTTTTAATGAGGGTTTGCTCGACACGATGCTCCACTTTGAGTAATTTATTTATTTACTGTGGGTCAACTAAGGCCTTGTCTACATTTCAGCAGATATTTTTAAAAATGGAGAATTTCTGCTGCGCTTGAACCTTTTGTTAGCACACAAACTGAGTTTTTGGCGAGTTTTTAAAATTGCTTTTTAACGTTAAGATCTATAAAAGCTCCATTTATGGTGTATTTATGTGGACAAATACATAGCTTTAAATAAAAAACCTAACAGATTGTTTGAGTTATGTCCATCATCACTGAGCATTAGAAACCATAACAACAATGGAGCCATTTTAACCTGTTCTGGTTGAGTATTTTCACATTTTTCAGATCTCGTCATCATTATACTTTGGTTTTGGGCTGAAGTAAATAATAACTGTGGGCAATTTGTAATCTCTATCAAAGAAAAAAAAAAAACAGTGTTAGTTTTAGTAAAATATTTTGTCAAGCTAAAAATGTTCTTTCTCTGTACTTTGATTTGTTGTTAATGGGGATGTTCTCACCACCTTGTGCGTGGCATGGGTTTTTCAGTTTGTGTTGAGATTGTGTAAAAGAAACAAGAAAAATCCATTTAATATTCAGAGTAGTGTAAAAATACAAAAATGTTCAAAACAGTTTGGAAAGTTTCCTTTTCTGCACAAATTGACATTGGTTTGTTAACAGTGGTGGCTACATGAGTATGTTTGATTTATCAGAGACATAAAACTAGTACTTGACTAAATACAGAAAACAAACACACTGATGATCTATCTGCCTGCCTATCTGCTGTCCTTCTCCTTTACTCTCATCCAGATTCACTTACTTTAAATAAGACTAATGAGCATTACTTGCCTTGTGAAGTATAAAGACCAAAATCTTTCTATAAGACTTCTCAATCAGAGTTTTCGTGACAGAAATGATCTTGGGAAAAATGGAGTATTGGACTACATGAGTGCATGCCCTTGTCTGCGCAGATGGATTTTTGGTGGACATTTGTGACTTTGAGAAGAGAAAGAGAGGAGAAACAGTAAAGGAAAAGAGGGAGAGCAAGAGGAAGTCAGGCAGGAAAGGAGTGGATGGAGGACTGTGGCGTGCTGCGCTGTGGAGCGATAACGGCAGACCGGAGCTGTTTGCTTACCTTTGCTGTACACCACACAGTTGTTTTTGTTGTCTTCTGCTCCCTGCCAAGTCACATCCAGCAGCCACCTGGGGCCGGCGCTCAGCACCACCGGGACCGTGCTCTTCGTCTTCTGGTTGAGGACAGATAACAAACACTAATCATTTGCTTATTTTGGTGATTAAACAAATATTAATACCCACTGAGTTACGCTCTTCGGCTCCACTGAATGGCAATAAAGAGACAAATTAGGAAACTAAACAGCACGCAGCTCAAGTCCGGACCAATCCTATTTGTTGTTTGTTGCTGAGAAAATTTGGAAATCAGTGCCGTTTTTCATTTGTGTGTGTGTGTGTGTGTGTGTGTGTGTGTGTGTGTGTGTGTGTGTGTGTGTGTGTGTGTGTGTGTGTGTGTGTGTGTGTGTGTGTGTGTGTGAGAGGCCAACAGACAATGGCTGCTGTAGAGGTTGGAATGATGACAAATGGGTTCAAGAGCCTGCACTGTATCAAAAACAAAAAACTGAACATCCAGCATCAGATCATCCAGATTAAGAGGAATACCCCAGGTGTCCTGTAATCTTGGAAAAAACAAAAGGAAAATGAATTGGATGGTGACTTTCAGAGAGAAGGAAGTGAATGTTCTGCAGTGAACTTTGGGCACATTGTGCCTCGCTATCGCCAGGATCTCACTATTTCCTGAAACAAGCGGGGAAGAATTTAAAGAATCAGTATCCATTTCAAAGGGCGATTGAGGTTAGGGTTTTTATAATATGCCGGAAAATTATTCTGAATGTGTAAGGTCATTTTTCTTCTTGGTCAGAGGTCAAACAGGGAGTTTTATTCTTCAAAGGAAAAAAAACCCTGTAAGATAGAGAGCAACATCCAGCATAATAGATTTTCACGGTGCAGATTGGCTTGTTCTTTAGACGGTTTCTGTTCTATTTTACAAGTTGTTTTTTTCTGTCTTTTGCTTCATGTAAACTGTATTCAGGGTGTTTTGTGTGTGTAGGGGTGGTGCTCATATCTTAGGCAGCTTTCACTCAAAGCCACAGTGTCAGCCTTCTCAGGCCATTACTTTTAAACCATGTTACCTGCTCATCCCACCCTTGGTTGGGAAGCAACGGAAATGGCTTAACTAAGAGAAAATGGGTTGGGATTTCAGTCTCAACTCTTATTTCTTCTCCATTTGATGGAGCCAGGGACAAGAGGACACTGGCTATCTGACTAATGCAACAGAAAAACACCAGCCCTCTCCTGTGCTTTTCACTTATTTCTCCCCCGCAAAAGGCAACAACCTTCCAGGATAAATGCAAATGTCACTTGAGCGTGTTAAAGGTCTGAATTGGCACAGATATGCACAAGAGATGAGCACTGTGCTCCGGTAGTGCGCCTGCATGCCCCTTCCTCCTCCTACTCGTCCACCCACCCATGTCTCTTTTCATGAACTCTATCTAGTCGAAGGCTGGAGGACAGCTTTCTTTCCTTCTTTATTTAAAGAGGCATTTAAAAGCAGCAAACACCATCCTGGAGCTGATAGGAATCGGATCTGTGTGCAAAATTAGGCAAAAATGCACTATATAAAGAGATTTTTAAAAACAGCCTCTTCAGACATATACACATGCATATATATTTATATATATTTAAATTTATATATACACACACACACACACACACACACACACACATATATATACATATATATATATCTGCACGTTGGCAGAGTACAATGCTGAACTGATCAAACACAGACAGTAAATTGTGTCTGTTGATATTCTTATTCCCTCTCTTGGCATCTTCTTATCCCACGTTGGCAGCAGATGAGAGGGAGCGAGGACCTCTGTAATTTAAGTCATCCACAATTTCAAATTAGCCCCACAATGAAGTCCTCTATCTAGCTAACCTGAAATCTCACACCCTTGTCAAAGGAGCGGAGCAGACCGTCTGATTGTTGCCACGACGACTATCTGAAATGGAATCAGATTAACCCTTTCTCAGATCTCCAGACGGGAGCCATCTCTTATTCAGCAGAGGCCTCATCTCTCTTTGAGCCTCTGGGAATTCATTATATTCAGCTGCCCTTAATGCAGCCAACAGAGACTAAATATTATACATTAATGAAACATGTTCTCACCTGTCTTTTAGTCATTGCTACAAACTTAGAAAATTCTTATTGCTTCATTTTAACTATTTGTTTTAGAGGCCCCCAGCGCAGATTTATATAGAATATAAGTAGTTACAATATGTGCTTTGTAAGCATGTACCAGGTGCCCAAAAGACAAAGAGATGCTCACAATATATTGAGGATTAGGACACCGTGGTATCACTGCTGCGAGGACTGTCTGCAAATGCAAATGGAAACATTTGGATAACTGCTTCGGTTGGCCAAAGTGGCCGAGGCCAGAAGAAATGCAGATTGACAGCCAGAAAATTACAATTTGCCTGGAGCGAGGGTAACAGACGATGAACTGGCTTTATGGAAACAAACTCCTTGTCTTGCTCGTAATCACACAGCGAGGGAATGTGAAGTGTTGAGGCTATACATACATATATATATATATATATATATATATATATATATATTTGATCTGAAACAATATTCTGATAGAAAATGCTGGTCTTCAGTTGCTAATAAATGTATAAAAACAGATTTTGACAACTTTTTCTGGTGTTAATGATAATAATTTAAATATGATTTTTTTGTTCTCTAACCTGTTACATGTCTAGGTTTAGTAATTCAAGTTAAAATGAGTAAATGCCACAAAAAGGACACTAATTCTCTTTCAGTATCAGTTTAACAAACTATCCATCCCCTCTGTTGGTACCCATAAGCCCCCTGGCCTTCCTCTTTGTGCAGTGTTATGGTTTATCCACCTTCCACCTTCACTTCAGTGGTTTCAATTCTCCTCCTCTATTTTTATGTTGTTTTTTTTTACCTTCCTCTGAGCTCTGTTACCGTTCCATGTGTAAAAGATACAGTGACCAAAACAGTGTAGTCAGCGAGGAAGTGATTACAAACTGATGCTCCAAATTCGCTGTAAAATGAAAATCAATATTTCCACAAGTTGCTGCAACATAAAAGATAACCTTCATTGATTTTTCTAGACTTAGGTCTCTGTGATAGCATCTAATATAAATTTTCAGCCGCACGGATTTGGATCAGAGCGGAGCAGGCTCTGAACGATAAGTTCCGCGCACATCTCTCAGACTTGGATTTTTTTTTTTCCATTTCTCCTTTTCCTCTTCCAAGCCAAGGCTGTACTATTTATAATTGGCCCTGTGTGAGCAAAAGCTTCTATCAGGAATCTGTTCTAATTTTTATTACTGAGAAGCTAAAGCCTGTTCCAGATAATTTGGAAATTTCAGGGGAATTGTGATAGAGCTGATGGCACAGCCAGTCTGACTCCAGAAAGCAGCTAACCTGTAATAGCCTCTGTGGCTGCGCTGATTAAATGTTGCCATAGATGAAAGACCTGCCATCACCGCAATAAATTAACCAATCACACAAATCCCAAGTCGCTACTAATCCCTCCTTGATACCATGATCCTCTGATCAGCTGAAGGAGGTGAAGAAGAAAGTGGCTTGTGACACTCAGCCGTCTCCTCTCTGCCGGTTTCCGTGTGTAAACAACAAGCTAATGATATCACCGCTGACCATTTTGCCACCACTGGCTACTCTTAACCCGCTTCATGGTCAGGGCAGGTGAAATCGATACAGACCTTGGGTGGGAATGATTATTTTCCTCATCGTACTCCCCCACCAAGGTCACTGACTGGCACTGTATGTTTCTTGATCCCACAGCTGCAGGATTTAGACAACTGAGAGATCAAAACCACTCAGTCTGAATTTATCAAGACATTCCTCGGATTTTTGGATTTTTACACTCAGCTTTAGGCACCTATGCGGTGTAGCCGTTTTCTGGTTTGAAGAAAGACCCGTTGGATGAATCAGAACATATTCCATAATGCTGGTGTTGACCGGGCAATGTGTCTGCAATTATTTTCAAGTTCCTATTTTAATAATACTACAAGTCTAAACACAACACACACTATCCAGAGGCACGCAAGGAAAATGTTCGGCTGATGTCGAGTTTCTATGCGCTCTGTTTCTAACATGGGAGTGAGGATAAAGGATTTGTACCTGTTTTACCAGTCAGTTTACAGCAGACAGCACACTCACACCTTGATAACGTCCATTGCAATTAGTTGTTCACTGCGATGAAACAAATTGCATGTGGTCAACTGGAAATTTCATTAAGGGAGATTTTCCTCTAGCCCTTGTTATCGCTTTGCGTATTAATATTTTCTTAGCCTCAAGGATGGATGAATTGCAAGGGTCTTCTCACATTTATTTGGGGGGGGGGGG